ACTGCTCTTCTTTGCTTAAAGCAAAAACCTATAAGGAATGGTAAATTACTACTTTGCCTGTCCTTGAAGTGTTGCATCAGCTTAAAAAAGATATGAAACAAGGGCTCTCCCTGCTTGCTTTTGAATCAGCTTTTGCTTCTCTGCACAGATGGGTGATGGCTTTTTCCCATATTGCAATATGAATAAAGACCTTACTAAGTGAATGAGAATACCTCTCCTGGCTCTTCTTCGATAAAATTCCACGACAAGCTCAATAAAACAACTGAATCCACGCAAGACTGTGTCCTGCTCCTTTGATCAAGGATTTACCACAACAAAACTTTCCAAGATTGTGAGGAAAATAGAGGGAGTAAAGTATAATAAATCTTCAAGGTAAAATGCTTTAGACTGCATAAAGACTGGGAAGAAAATTCACTTTTCAACAAGACTGAAAGCACACTGGAGTTGCTTAACAAGAAGAGAGTGAATGCCCTGACATGAATCTGCTAACATTCTGTGACAATCCTTCAAACCTTCTCTCCATCAACAATCTCCAACCAACTTGACAGAGCCTCTGCAAAATTAATTGAGTTATCCAAAAATAATCTTCCTCTAGAATTCATCCAGATTTCTATATCCTTGGACTCTATTTCTCACTTCCTTTTACCTAGTCTCACATTGTGTTTCTGATGTTGTCCTTACATTGTCCTGCCAGCAGCCATATCACCATGCAACTCACAACTGGCAGCCCACTGAAGCTAAGCAGGTGTGAGCCTGGTCAGTACCTGGATGGGAGACCTCCTGGGAAAAACTAAGGTTGCTGCTGGAAGTGGTGTTAGTGGGGCCAGCAGGGGGTGGTGGTCTGTGTGGGTCCTAATGCACCAGTATAGTGAGGGGGACACTATACTGTAAACAGGTGCCGTCCTTTGGATGAGGGATAAAACTGAGGTCCTGACTCTCTGTGGTCATTAAAAATCCCAGGGTGTTTCTCAAAAAAGAGTAGGGTGTAACCCTGGCATTCTGGCCAAATTTCCCATTGGCCCTTACCAATCATGGCCTCCTTATAATCCCCCTCTATGAATTGGCTTCATTACTCTGCTCTCCTCCCTGATACTGACACTGATAGTGGGTGTGTGGTAAGTGTTCTGGCGCACTATGGCTGCCGTCGCATCATCCAGGTGGATGCTGCACATTGGTGGTGGTGGAGGGGAGTCCCCATTACCTGTAAAGCGCTTTG